TCCATTCATTATAAACGGCCGTGTTTCATTCATAAAAACACCAACGACGACGAAGCAACGGCGAATCAGTAGCAGAATCAGCAACAACAGCTACAGTAGTCACGGCGAAAACACGTCGTTGAGCGAGTGAGTGAGAGAGAGAGATAGAGAGAGAGAATGAGCGACGGCGTATGAGAGCTATACAGTTGCGCTCACTCAACACACACATGCCGCACTCTCTTGCACTCAAAGAATTCGCTGCGTTGTGATTTGGAGGTCTGTACTTGGCCGCCCCCTCCCTTCCAGTCTAAAAGAGTTGCTCGCTCCCTGGCTGACTGACTGAAGGTTGCTTGCTGCCTTCTAAGCAGCAGTGTAGGAAATTTGCATGGTTCGCATGTGTGTGTGAGTAGCTGTATATATGAGTCTGACTGTGTGTGTGTGTGTATGCGTTTAAATATGCCATTTTTGATATACTATGGCCTGGCATACTCGTATAGTAACCATGCAATTGGCGCTACAGTCACTTCCTTTTTCCATGAGAAAAAAAAAGTTCACAATGCTAATCTTTGCGATAGGGGGCTAGCTGGAGCTTTAGTTTTCTAGCAAACATACACATACATACATAGATACATATGTACATATGTATGTACTAGTATATATGTATGTATGTTTGTATGTGCATAGTCTAGTGTTATCTCGACCGATTTGTTTACTTGCTTGTTTGTGTGTACGACGCCCTGTTTTGGGGCTTGGCTTATTAGACAAGTCAGCGCACTGATTGTCGCTGGCCATAGCGCTATAGTTGTAGTAATTGTTGTTGCTCTTGCTGCTGTTGTTGCTGTTGTTGTTGCGAACGCACGCCGTCGTCGATTTTGTTTTTTTTCTTTAGTTTTGTTGTTTTATGTCGAACCAAGAAAAGTGCTACTGGTTTTGAGATTTCGAGTCGAGACTCGCATTGGCACAGAGTTGTCAGCATTTGAAAACATGCCCATCACAGCGGTGTATCTCTTTCAAAGCATTGCCCAACTGTATGGCTCGACAACTCTGCTCAACATCAGCAGTCAGCCAGCAACGTTGAACCAGTCGTGGTCTTGTTTGCTTTCTGATATCCTTCACAGTCGAGTCGCTTATGTTGCTGACAACATGAGCTCGTTTCGCAACGAACTTCATTTGACAACATGGGGAACACGTAACTCTATTATTGACTTAAAAATATAACGTTATGGCATGATTTTTAGTTTATTAAATCACAATGTCTGATTTAAAATTAATCACATTTTAAACAATTATATTTATTTTAGAGCTCTAGATGTGCTGTTTAGATTCAGTTTTTATTAAATTGAAAACTATACATGCTTTGGCTAACTCAATTAGTATACATATAACAATTTATTTTTAATGTTAATTAATTGATGGGAAGACCGTAAACAAATCCACAATCCACAGGCATACTCTTAGAACTATATTCAAGTTTAGACATAGAGCTGTTCAGCTTGCTTTCTGTTATATTTTGAAGCTGTCCGCACAATTTCAAGATAAAAGTGTAGACTTCCTTTCTTAAATTTAGTTATTGTAGTGTAGATCGAAAACTGAATCAAAATTACGGAATTGGAAAGTGTAGGCAGTCTGATGAAAATAAAATGTTAAGCGAAACGAATTGAAAACATTGTGAATGATGGCTGCTGTGGATCAGGCCTGATCTGCCGACTGTTTACACACACATTTACAGCAACTTATGCTTACCTCATGCAACGTTCACACACACACACACACTAACAATACAACGTGTGCCAACGCAAACCAACACTCATACACACACACACACACACACACACACCTGCATACATACATATGTATATAGATATGCACAGATACTTGGAGCTGCTGCTATGGACGCATAGACACGACGACGGCAACAGAACTGGTAGGCAGACCAGACCCGACCCGATCCGATCCGACCATACCATACCAGACCCAGAGACCAAAGACTAGGCAGCGCTACTTTCGCCTCTATGTGTGCGTATTTTCATTCATATTGGCAGCCAACGCGACGCAGCGCAGCGCAGCGCCGCGCAGTTCGCTCTCATTTTATAGGCCGACGGACGTCGCTGCCGACGTCTGCGCCGCTGTCCACGTCAACGAAGGCGTCAAGTCGAATTTGGTGAAAATATGAAAGAAGAAAATTCATTGAGTAAAATCGAAAATCAACAGCGCGCCTGCGAATCAGAAATAGCAACAACAACGAATAGTTGGGAAAATTATTGAACCAAGGCAGTGCTTGGGCAGGCCGAAAAGCGGGACGTGGACATTCGTGAAAAACTTGTTCCACTATTTGAGTGGATTGGCCGAGCACAGTGACTTCGGATTGAAAACCCACACATTTTTCCAAAAAATTACGAATATTTGAACTCGACTCCAGCTGCGAATCTACTATTAGAAACCATTATAGCACAACTTCATTGAAACATTCGTTTCATGAGAAACGCTTTTTTTATTGTCCTCAATAAGCTTATATTGGAAATAGAGCTATATCAATGAAATTATTTTTAAACACCCGTATGTGTCTGTTATACTCGAAATAGGGCTCAGTAGTATCAGTTTATACTGATTGACTGACTGAGTGAACGACTAATACTTATAATAGCTAATTCGAGCTCCAAATGGGGAAAACTGGCTGTAACGTTTGTATAAAAACTCTAAATTTTTCAACCGTTCGACTTCGAATTCATGTACCAATTTAATGTTTGAAATGTTCATTCATTGTCCATGGAACCTGATTGATTGACAATTTCGTGTTAAAAATAAGTTTCCGATAAAGTAAAATTAAATTAATAAATCAAGCATAAATCAATCTAAAATTAACTTTAATAATTGGAAGCTTTTTCGTACTAACAAGAAGAATTGCGAATTGCACGGAGTTGAAATTTGTATGCGAAATATTTAAAATTCTATCTTAATCCAACATCGACGTCTCATCATATGAACTCTCCAAAAGAGTAGATAAACCAATTGGAACATTTTTTTACGAAATAGAAAACATAAGAGGTTCGATGAAAATCTGTTAGTAATTTTATCATGCTTTTGGCGTTGATTTAATGGAACCTGCGTATCCATGCTCCGATGCTTTAATATAGTTTAATAAATTGTGTATTTAAAAAAAAAATTATGATTAATAACCCTTCAATAGGATCGCTTTTCCCTGCTACGTTCGGCTTTTCTAAGAAATTGGCATTAGCCCCCCGATTTATCACTTGAAACGATTCGAAAATCAGCTGTGGTTCCACACAAAAATAAACACTTCGCACTTGCAATTCCAGCATTTTTCCTTGGTAAAGCAGAGATATGAGTTGCATCAATAAAAGCAGTATTTCACTTAAGTTCTCGACTTTGAAAGACCTTTGTGTATGCACGTATACTATAACTTTTATATTGATAAGTAACATATATGAACTATAACAGAATTATAACTGAATCATAGGGATTTTTATCCATAAATATGTCATGTGAACACTTTTTGGAATTGAATTTTGATTGGCGTTCTATCTGCTCAGTTCGATCTTAATTCGGAGCCACTGTGCGACGACAATATCATTCAGAAATATTGTTGCTGTTGCTGCTATTTTTTGTCTATATACCTAAGTATGTATGTGTGTGTGTATGTGGCTGTAGTATTGGGCGAAGGACGTGGTGGCACGTTGCGGGGGTCGCGCTAACTCTTGCCCGCTTAACGTTCCATAATGTTGTAGTTTTTGTTGTTGTTGGTGGTGCTTTGCGCGCTGTTTGCATTTAAATTTAAATGAATGAAAACTGGCATGAATTCGCCCGCTGTGTGCTTAACAGCAGCGTCCGTCAGCGTTTCTCCTCAGCGCCACCCCCCGCCACACACTAAAAGCTCACTCAAGCAGCCGGCATGGCCGCTAGCTGCTGCCCGCCAACATGGCCGCAATGGCAAAGCAGCAGCAGCAGCAGCGGCGGTGGCGGCGGCAGCAGCAGAGACGAACGAGCGCGCGCGCCTACAAGTTGGCATATTTTCAATTTCCGTTTTTTACACAAATACACAACCAACAAACACACTCATACATAAGCTCCACAGCCAAAGCTCATGTTGGCGCGGTCGATTGCTCGCTTGCTTTTTTGTGGGTTGTGGGCCATGGCGGGCAGCGGCGTGACGGCGGCAACGTCCGGTTGGTTTTTAGTCGTCGTCGTCGTCGTCGTCGTCGTCGTCGCCGTCGCTGCTCAGCAACAACAAGTACAATGCAGAGCCCCCAGAGTCGTCTCGCAACAGCATAGCGGTGTGTGGTGGGGGGCTCTGATGGGGGTAAGGCCATGTGTTTGTCGCTGTTGCTTTTGTTGTAATTTGTATGTAAGGAAAAACAAATTAAATTCGCCGCACTACATCTCCCTGAGTGACTTAAAGCGTGTGCTCTCTCTCAGAGCGAGCACTTGAGGTGATGACAGTGTGTATGTGTGTGTGCGTTTAAATTCGCCGCTCTGCTGTGGCAGCATTTCCTGTCACAGTGTTCGTGTTTGCAAATCAGTTGCTTTAATAAATTTCTCTGAGGCGGTGCTACGGTGTTTATTCTTCATACCGTACAGTTGAAGCTAAAGCAATGCTAAGAAATATAACAAAATTCGCACTACAAATCGCCCATTCAGCAGTAGCAGCACGGCGAACATCATTATGTCCATGCACACATGCATAGATGTGTAATTAAGATACACACAAAGGTATATACATACACACATACATTTTGAGAATGAAATATATTTTTCAATTAAAAAACAACAAGGTGCAGCGAATTTGTCGCCGTCAGTCACACATATCCATAGGAGCGATCGTGTGCTCTGCTCTCTCGCGCGCTCTCTCTCTCTACTCTATATCTGTGTGAATTCGCTGCGCTCTTGAGTGAGTTTTGCACTGCTGTCGCTGTCGTTGTCGTCGCCGCTGCCAGAAACCAAGCCAGAGGTTGTCAGCAACTCGCGTCGAACAGCGCCATTCATTTCGCTTCAAAAAGTTTGAGCGTGTAAGACAACTCGTCAACGTGCAGCGGGTACGCGACGATGTCGTTTGGTTTGTTCCACACACACCAAAAAATATACAAATAAAAAAAATTGTAAAATTTTTTTTTACCCTTTCAAACTTAACTAACAACAATAACGCACAATAATTAATATAATAAAAAAAGTTTAAACAATTCACAAAAGCCAAAACGAACGCGTGTTTTTTAAACCAAACGAATCAAAATCTGTGCTAAAGAGTAGTGTGTTGAAAAGTGTACGAATACAACAAAATTAAAAATCGAATTCCACACTATATATATATATATATATATATTTATATATGTATGTTTATGGCAAAAAATAAAATAAGGGAGAGAAATAAATTTCAAATTGAAAATTTATAAATTGCTTCCAATCATGTGCCTCTAAAAATGCAAATTGCGCAAAGAAAATCAACGTCTATTTAAAAGTCCAACAACAACAAGCACGACAAAAATATCAAGCGCGAAAAAAATACAAATAAAAATTCAAATACAAAACGTGTTGAGAAAAAATAAAACAGCAACAACAACAGCACAAATATATATATATATAAATATATATGCATGCATCAATACATATGTACGAGTATATATGTATGTATGTATATGAATTGCATAAAAATATTTTTTACTGTGGTGTGTAGCTGGCACAACAACAGCAACAACAACCAAACGAAACGTAGGCACGCACATACACACACACACACGCACACACACAACTGCAAAATAAAGTTGTGTGAGCGCTGCGCTGCCATTACCGTCGCTGCCTGCGCCAACGCCAAAGCCAACGTCGACGTCGTGTTGTGTTATTTAAATTTACTTTTGTGAATGAAATGCGAAAAAAAGCAAAGCGAAAAAATATTTTTTAATAAATGCTAAATAAATACAAGCTGCAAAATACAACGCGCTAAAAAGTCACTCACACACACATAAACACACACATACACGCGCATGTATGTTTGTCATAAGGTCGCGATATATAGAAATTGTCGATATGTATATACATATATCTATATGTATATGAGCGAGTAAAAATCAATTACTTAGAAAAGCAACTCCAAAAAGCGCGTGTGCCACAAAATCAAAATCAAAAAAAAAAAGAAGAGGAAAACGGTTTTTTGGGATTAGCCGACAAACACAACAGCAACAGCAACAGCAAAAGCAACAACAACATCCAGCACACAAACACATACACACATCGATTAATTGGATATTACAACAACAAAAGGATTAATGCATCTATAATCTGTATTGCGGCTGGATTGCTTTTGAAAATCAATGTAAGTCAACAATACTGGACATACATACTTGTAGTTTTTGTTGTTGTGCTGCAACCTTCGGGCAACAGGAAGTGCACAATTTGAAACACATACAAACAGAGATACACAGACACATCGACACATAGATACTTACAAGTAGATAGAAGCGCACAATTTCCATGTTAGCTGCATATTTTTCATTAATTTATGACAGCGTGACACAAAAATTACATACAACTGCTGTTGAAATATTTCCTATTATTTCCAATTAGACAGTTTAAGTGAACAGTGTTTAGATACTCGTATTGCTGTGCATGCCTAAATACCTATTTGGGGCTGAAATGAAATATTTATGAACGCAATAAAAATTGTACACTTCCTGTTAAAAGTTGCTCAAAAGAGAGCCTTTAGAATGTTAAGTTGAGAGATTTGGATGCCTTCTCAACTGAAAGATTTGAACACAGATTTTGAACGAAGCTTCAGAGTTTCGAATACATTTGAACATTTCACAAAAATGTCCATTTCCCATGAGAAGCCATTGAGGGAATTTCTCAAAAGAATGTTAACCAAAATATGGCCTTTAGTTACAATTTGCTTATGGGGGCGCTCTTAACTGATAGATTGGGGTGCTCACTTTGAATTTCCTTATAGTTTTAGAAAGACTTTCAAACTTTATGAACATTGAGAGAATTTCTCATAAGAGTGTTACCCAAAACTTAGCCTTTAATTCTTATTTGAGTAGAGTTTTCAACCGAAAGTTTTAGGGATTCCTATGTAATTTTAAAAGTTCTTGAAAATGTAAATTTTAAGCTAAATTTGAATGCTATGGCTAGCCTGGACAGCTAGAAACAACAGTTGTCGTAAGATGGGAACGTCTGCAGCAGCTTTGGCAACCCTGTCATCTGCTTCCTTCATATCGCACTTAGTTGAGCGATTAATTGAATAGCGAGAAAAACAAAAATTAGAACTTGTAACCATTTTAAAACATTTGTAAACTATCTATCTTTACTTAAGTGTAGTCTAAATCTAGAGCAGCTTGTTTTTTAAAGTCGGGTGATATGACAGTTATAGGAATTCATTTGTATACATTCAATTAGATAGGAGTATATTTTAGTGCTCTATAGCACTTTGATATCATTGGCAGACAGAAGCTGGGAGTCATTGCTTGATTTTGCAGTCCACCTGGAAAGTAGTAATATATATAGTAATATATAATATTATATATTGCTTATACATTGAAAAGCTCTCAAAATGTTTTTAAGAATTGTCCAGGTCCGCTTCTAACCCCCAACTGATGTTCAGGCATAAAGTTATGGTCCTCCACGACTAGCAACATCCCTCTATTTAGAAACTTAACTACATAGAAGAGCAGTATTTCCGCGTAGCTAAGAAGCATTCTATTTCCTTTAAAAATCAATGAGCATATCAGTTGCTGTATTGGCTTTGAAGTTGGCAATGCGAACAAAATCGAATCGCAACTAGACAGAGAGAGAGAGATGTTCAATTAACGCTAGAATTGGCCAAAAATAAACGCAATAACTGTCAAACAATAATAAATTGGCAACAGAAATAAACTGAGCAAAAAGTCAAAGCTAAAAACCAGAGCCAACTAGAAAACAATTTTAAAAATAAAACTAAAAATTGGGAATAAATCGCGCTTCTGCATAACTGACTGAATAAGTGACTGACTGGCTTTTTAGTTGTTTGTTTGTCCACAATCGTTTGGAGCGTCGAGACACAATCACAATCACACACATACAAGTACATGCACACACATACTACACACGTATGTGTATATGTACTATATATGTGTAGGCACTTATATTATTTACTTGTTTTGTTTGTCGATCGGCGTAGAGATAATGAACCAGAGGCCTACAATTTAGCTACAATTTAAAAATAAACGCGATCGAAACATAAAAAATAGACTGCTACTTGGTCAGTCGGTTAATAACAGTTTGTCCAAATTGTTTTTGCACTATTACGTACAATTATTTACACATATGATGCATATTGTGTTTATTATGTATGTATATTGCTTTTTTTATTGCTCAGCAGTTGTCGCTCGGTCGGCGTCGCTGCTCGTTTCATTGTTGCTCTCGCGCTGCTGATAACAATAATTTAAAAAAATAACACCATTATATAGCCGGTCGTCGAATAAACTTCATTCACTAAATCAGGCAGATGATCTCTATGTCTGCCACTGTATTTGCCATTTGCCTGCCTTTCTAATCAGTTTTTTGCTGTCGAAGCAAACCTTTGAACACCACTTATTTGTTGTTCCTATCAACGAATCAACAAATCTACAATTTATTTATAACTAATTCCCCAATGAGGTGCTTCAAATTTCAAGCTGTTCGAGTAAAACATATACTCGCACATATAACTGAACAATCACGTGCAGTGCCTACCATGAACAAACAGAAGAAGCAGCAACTACTTTTAGTTAAATAACAGAGCCGGTTCTAGACAAATTGCAGCCCCCCTGAAAGGTATTACGAATTGAGCCAAAAGCTATTAATAAAAAATCTTCATTTTACTTTTTAAATTCAATATTTTATTTGTTATTGATTTGCATGCATCCTTTTTTTTTTAATCATGTGTAACCAACATTGAAGTTCTATTGTAAGCTTGATGTGCCTAGTTCTTCGATGAATTATTGACTATCTTTTTAGAATTGTTGCTCTTTTAGTTGTCGAATTAAAGAGGCTCATACAGACAAACAAATCAAGAGATCTAAATAATTCTCATTTTCTTTGCAACAATTGTGTTTCGATTTCGACGCCCTTTTGGGCTCGCATAAGTCGGCCCTGTTCATTATCATTATTTTGTCGAACTGAGCATACAGGTAAAAACATAAGTGGTTATATTTATGATTTCGTCATCACTACTCTGACCGATTTGAGGCTCCGATCCCCGCTTCTCATGCTACTCATCGATAAGCATTCGACATGTGCATTGCGTTTTATATTCGTGTGCTTTTTTTGGGCTTTTGCTTTCTTTTTCACGCTGACACATGCTTAAAATATCGGCTAAAGGAAAAATAAAGAAAGAACGAACAAAAAAACTACACCAAATTGATAAACATACAAGCAGGCAGGCAGTCAGGCAGTCAGGCAGACCGACAGACGGTCAAATTCTTCGAGCACACGACGTAGAAATATTAAAAAAAAAAATCGTTTATTTACTTTTTGCCCGTTGTTAATTTTTTGAGGTAACGGAAACGCCTAACACACAGAAAGCCAGCCGTAGAATAAATAAAGAGGCGTAAAAACTTTTCAAGCGATAAGTCAAAGTGGATATGTTAACATTTGTTTTGATCGATGGTTTCTATGTTCCACATACGGCACCGGGACTAAGAAAGAATGTGCAGAGTTGAGAGCACATTGCTTTGATTTTTGGACCTTTGTGGTTGACTTATTTATACCACGAACGCATAGAAAAGATAAATTGTAACAACTTAGTCTATCTGTCTGAGGCCTATACTTCGAAAATCATTATGGTTACACGCATGATACTTGGTACTTGATACTTGTGAGTAATGCTCATTTCAAGCAATATATGAACTTTTGATTTTTGCAGAATACATGCATTTATACTTGTATGTTATAGCCATTTGTCTGTCCATCTGAACGCCAATACTTCGTTAACCATTATAGTTAAACGTCCGAAACGTGGCATGTGGGTTCTGCTCATTTCTATGCATAACAAGTTTATGTTTTTTCTTATCTCAACCAATATTTGAACTTTAGATTTGATTCAGAATACATGCATGTATATATTTATATGCTAACAATACTTGCATATTTTATTTATTTATTTATCTTTTCTGCGCCACGTTTTATGTCATAGACTAAAAATACAACAGAACGGCATGATATTCATTCAGAAAAAGCGATCTCATATGAATACATATGTACAAATATTTAGATTCATATATGTATACATACATAGAGGCTATGTACATATGTATGTGTGGTGAGCGCAGCATTGATGGAAATTCAGAAAGCCAAATGTTTTGGCCTAGGCTATATGAGTTGCAAATGAATAAATAAACGAAATGCTTAATTTTTATTAGCTAAATAAAATGCCAACAAGCTGGCTAGTAAGCGAGAAGAACAACAACAACAATAATGCAAACAGAGAGCCAAAGTGCTTGGCAAAATCATTTCTATTCTTTCATTATTTTTTATTATCATTTATTCCTAAATCTACAATGACGTTGATGACGCAGAATGTGGCAAGGGGACAACACACAGAACATACGTAAATTCTGATTTCAAATGGGTTTAAAATATGCACCAAACACACACACACACACACACATATACATACATAAACACATATACAAACATAAATAAACACATGTACATACGTAAGTACGTGTTTGTATCGTATTTTTTGAAAATCAGAGGAAATACATTGTGCTGCATATTAAAATAGCGAGCGATTTGTAAATGCAACTAAATTAAATAAATGCACAATACATGCCGCAAATGATTGCGCATGCATCGAAATGATAATATCAACATGCCATTCAAATGAATGTAATTGCTTTAATAACATTAAAAATGCATTAATAAGTATATAAATGCACTTATTGAATAGAAAGAGCATTCAATAGAGTTTATAGTAAATGTTACCTCGAAGTTATAAGTCGTTTGTAGAAGCTTGAAGATTGTTTTAAGCATCTTCTCAGCAATGTTTAAAGAAATAGAAAGTAGTTCTATGTAACATCTATATTCCAGCATAGCATTGAAATGAAAATGAAAATCTTTCCTAAAAACACGCGTTTTCGGTATTATTATATTAATGTTCTGTTTACTTCCGATGCAATAATTAATATGACTGATATGTAAATAAACTGTTAGCCTTTTCGTATAGACATTCAATTTGTGGGCCAAAGAACAAATATCAATGGGCAATTACTATGCAAAGACGAAAGATCGATGTTTGAAGATCGTTATGCTATGAAGCAAGGGCCAAAATTAGTGTTCGTGGAACTGATCAGTTGTAGTCGA